GTTGTTGTTGTTGTTGTTTTTGCTGCAAAACTGCCATTTATAGGCAATTAGGCTTTGATTTTAGTTGCTGTTTGAATGGTTGCTGCTGTTGATGCTGCTGCTGCAGCGGTCCTGCGAACGCCATTAATGCAGTGTGTAACAAATCATGGCTGCAATTAGTGCGTGTTTATGACTGCCTGCCAGCGGCCTGCAGTCGATGGCAAGGGAGAGGTCCAAGTAGGGGCTGCAGCAGGCGCCCTGTCAGTGCAAAATAGCTAGAACCATTTCAGCGCTCAATATTTTGTACTTTTCGCTGTCTGTTAGGCGATTTTTGCATGTTTAGCGTACCGCACAATTTGCATGCAACGTCAACAACAACAACAACAACAACAACAACAACAATGGTCGGCCTGATGATGGCAGCTGGTGTCCCGTGCGTCCCATGTCCAGCATCCCGTGTCCAATGTCCAGTGGCGTCAATAATGGCCTGTCGTTTGCCTCCGCTCTCATGGCCATAAACGCCCGCCGGCCATATTGTTAACCGCATCAGTCGATAGTTGTTTTTACTGCCGCTGCCGCAGCCGCTGCTGTTGCTGTTGCACTAATTGCGATATCCATGTACTACACACACACACACACATGTATATAGAACCTTAATGACATAGATCATGCTAATATAATTATATAGCAACCGACAACAAAAGCTGCTTTCATATCATATCATCAAATATAAAAGAGAACAAATAATCTAGACCCGCATTAAAGAATTATAGAATTATGCAATCGAGTAGAGAGAGAGGCCTCAGCTTACGAGTTGAAAGATGATATTTGCGGGCAGGAAAGTAAGCTTTAGCTTATTTTGTTTTTTTTTTTATTTTTTTTTTAATTTGCATGCCGCCGAATGTAGGTCATTAAATGGTCGTAAGAGTCGTCGAGATGAAATGCTTGACGCAGTCCGGGCACAAAGCGTTCACGACTTTGCCATTTTCCCAGCATCAATTGGCCCGAAAAAAAAAACAAACCAAAAAAAAACTTTAAATAATTTCTATATTAAACGAGCATGAGAACAACTTGCACATTTTTGACAGCAATTTTCTGTCCAACTGCGCCCCAGAGCAACAAAAAAAAAAACTAAAAAGCCCAAATCGTTGATAAGCAATGTAGTTGAAAGAATATCAGCTGTGATATATCAAATGTCTGAGCACTAGACATAAAAAAGTAAGAAGGAAATTCTATTTCCCGCACGCCGGCAACTAAATACCCTTACGCGAAGTAGCTTGGCAGTAAACATTCCACAATTCGACCAATTGTGTCTATTATTATTATACAGTTGGTCATAGAAGAGAATGAACATTTATACACGATTATTCACGTAGTATATGGATGATATAGTGAACCGATTTGGTAAAGATTTAGCTCACATTCAAGAAGCATACTAAAAACTAATAATTGCAGATATTTCCAAGATATCTTCATAAACAATGAAGTTGAAGATCTATATTATCTATCCGATATAGCGGTCTGATCCGGACGATTCGGACATACATATGTACTGGTACTTTAATCATGATCTACCACATTTCCTTTTGATTGTTTGTTTGCTTTAGTTTAAATGTTACTGTTATTATGGGCATTTAAATAAAACCGATATGAATATTTACAGTACAACTTATTGTACAGTTAGATTTAACATATCGACTACATGTACTCCCAAATCGTTACAAGCTGCGTGACAAAACCAATAATACCCGCAGCAAGGGTAAAAGAAGTATCAAAACGAAAACGAAAAAACAGAAAACAAAACAAAACAAAATATCAGCCAAAGCGTTGAGTGCTGCTGACGCTTCGACGCTGCAAGCGACCAAAAGAAATGCAATTTTCGGGCAACAAAAAAAACACAAGGCAACTGCGAATAAGTAGAATACGTGGCGAAAGCAAAATCTGCAAAATGATATTCGTCTATGAGGATGATGACGACGATGACGGCAGCGACTGCGGCGTCGACGTCGCCAGCGACGGCGACGCTAGTAAAATTGTAAAAATGTAAAATGGTAAATGGCGATGCGACCGTCGCGCTGCTTAAAATTCCAAAGCAAATTGCGGGCAACAACGCCAGCGAATGTTGTTGCCTATTTGTTGTTGTTGTTGTTGTTGTTGTTGCCAGCAACAACATTCAGCAACATCACAAACATCAATTGACCCTTCGGTGCTTTAGGATCAAGCGTAATAATCGCTAGCATAAAAACGCTTTGCACTCTTGCGCCCAGAACGGAAAAGAACATTGGCCCAGGCCAAGGGACCCAAACATGCTCTTAACTTGGTCTGTAACTGAGAGCCAAGCGCTGAGATTCGAGCCAACGTATTGCCCAGCATATGTGGCCCTGTCTCTGTCTCTGTCTCTAGATCTGACTCTGACTAGCCAATAGCCAATGGCAATGGAAGCGAATGAAGATGAATCGCCAAAGTCTCAACGCGTTTAATAAAACATTCATTTAAGCATATGCACATCTTATATACATGCACACATATGTATATAAATATGTATGTATGTATGTATATGTATACATGCATGTGGAGATTTCAATTGGGCCGCCAGCGATGCCTCTTGCTGACAACTACAATATATAGTGCCATCTCACAGAGATATACACATACATATCCATACACATATACACATGCATACCCTGCACTCTGTGTACGAGAATGCGAGACCGCGCTGTCCCCAAGTTGAGCACCCTAATTGTCGCAGAGCCTTTCATTGGCCTTCTTATGTCTTTACTAAGGTCAAGTTATATTCATTTTTATAAATTAATGAAAAACTAACCTTTTATGCTGGTTCCAAGTGTAATTAATCCAATATTAGCGAAGTTCAATATTAATAGACATGCACAATACGTTCCGTTCTGTTCAGTTCAGTTTGCACAATTCAACTAAATGCAACAGTTAAGCAGGTAAAGACGCAATAAGAACAACGGGATCTTTGACGTTTTGTTTTTGTTTTGAGTTCTTCCTTTGAGTTATATTTTTCGCTCAATGAAAAGAGTACAGTTACACACATACATACATGTGTACATTCTTCAGGCAGAGATATTTGATTGAAAAAACTACAGTCACGGACAAAAGTATTGGCAACTGTAGTGTTGTCATGTAAATAATCTAATTCAAGGATTCCGAACCATGTTTTATTAAAATATATTTTGTGTCTCATCATCATGTATCATTTACATATATTTTGAAACCCTTTTGGGATATTGAATTGATTGTATATTAGCCAATTCGCCGTTTTGGCAGTCCTTGTCGTCAACATGCACATACAATAAAAACACTTTCTTGACAACATAACATTCGAATGTTTTCATTATATTTTAATTCTATAAAATGTTTGCATATTGTTATTTAAATAAATGTTATGCAGTAAAGTTCTCATGTAAACACAATACTAATTTTATATATGTAAAATAAAAATATCCATTACGCCAAATTAAAGACAATTGCATTTACGCAGTTAAGCCCACTGTGCCGATAACGGAATCTTTAACTTTGTGCTTGTTTTGTTTTGAATTCTTCCCGACTTGTTGTTGCTTTTTAACAGTACAGTTAATTTTGCTTGTATTTTGTCACTGTTTCGTTCGGTCGCAATTCAATTAATGTGCAGTTGTTTTTAATCGACTGTCGGTTACCCTACCCTCTGTACACAATATGTTAACATAGTAGCTCGAACCGGTTGGCAGACTGAAGACAAAAACTACATACAATAATTGCTTTGAAGATAAGCATTAAAGTTAAATGAACTTAATTTTTGCTCTTAACCTTTTCTTAAATCGGCTTCTTAACAATACTCGCACCCATATGCCCTGAACAACGTCAAGTAGCGCATCGATAGCTTATTTCGAGTGCTTCACATATTGTAGAAAATATTCTTCGTTATTTTTTGCCAGAGTTCTTAAAGTTTTTGTTGTTGTTATAACACCCGCCTGAGGGTCAGATTTTGCACGCTGTCATGTGTGTGCCCTGATCCATGTGCAACAGGCCGGTCCCAGAGACCCAATCGCAGTCGATGGAACGGCGGAACGAGTGCAACACGAACTATTTAATGGACCTGCCATGGCCCTGCCGGGGCCATGTGCAAAGAAGACATCTGGCTGCACCAGACTATGCCATCTCCAATCATCTATCAGCGTGTGTGTGTGTGTGTGTGTATGTGTGCGCCCGTTAATCAGCTTTGCTTGGAGGCCTTTCATCAAAGCTCAAGCGGCACCCACAACGCGCAGTGGGCCACAAAACCGAAAACAAAACCAAAACAGATTAAGCATACGACGTGTTGTGCAGTTAGCAGCTAACGTAGAGGCACTGCCGCAGTCGGAACTGCAGTCCAAAGCCCAAGCCCCATGCAGCCAAATGGTCAACTAACGGTTTGGCATGCGTTGACGTTGACTGCAAGGCTCTGAGGCGGGCTTAGACCAAGACTGAGACTGAGACTGGCATTGGCACTGGGACTGCGACTGCGACTGCGACTAGGTCTGGCGGCAATTGTAATTTATGATTCGCAGCGCACGGCGTCCAAATGATCTATTGGCGCAGTCGCCATCCAAGTCATTTTCTTAAGCGGCGGCGTGCCGGGCTCGTTTTGTGCCGCGCACAGCTATCGGCCGCGTCATCGGCACTTGTTGCATCGGCCGGCCACATAACAGTTAAAATGATTTTCGCATCCCATCGCATCGCATGTGGGGCTGCTCGACCCATCCGCCCGCCCCCCAAGGGCTCAACAGTTATAAAGTGCGCCCACCAGTTGGCGGTCAGGCGAGGTGACCCAACACCAAATGCTCTGGCAACGTCGCCGCCGTCGATGATTAATGGATTTGCCAGTGTTGGGCATAGCGAAAAAAATCCGTGGCGCTCATAAATAAACAGGAATGCGCGCTGCAAATGGCAAACAAAAATAATAAAACAAGCGAAAGGTGGAGCAAGCGACGACGACGACAACGACGGACAATTGGCGCCAGAGACGAGACGTGGGTGCGTATTTATCATTGGTAAACTTTATTCTTTACATTTACATACAACTTGTTTAAAATTATGTGTCCAATTCGACATGGATTCCACTTGAGAGTAAAGGTAGCAAAGCGAACAAAGCGAATCCCAAGCAAGGATTCGTTTATGTTCACATGTGTATGTACCTTTAAGCATTACAATACAAATATATATGCGTGTTCGCGTGTGTGTGTGTGTGTGTGTATATGGTACTCGTAATTGAAACTGTATATAGAAAATGATTTGCATTAATATATGAACTACGTAAATTTTAAACTAAAAAACTGGCTACTTTAGGTTATGATAGGCTGGCATCGATCATGCCCCATCCAGAAGTGCTCAATTGTCGTCTGTCTCACGTCTGCAGCTCACGTAAATATTGTACAAATTCGAACTGACAGAGCATCTGTGTGTTTGTGTGTCAATAAAAACTAGAACTATTACTTCTTCTTCGGCTCGACTGGCCGCTCCTGCGGCAGCTGTTGCTCCCGCTGCCGCTGTTGCTGCTCCCGCTCCCGCTCTCGTTGCTGTTGTTGTTGTGGGCGGCTGCTCCTTTGCGTTTCTGCCTGGGGCGATGACTATAATGGCGGCGGCTCGTAGTGGAAGCCAGGATTGTTGAACTTAAAGCGCGCGATCTCGAACTGCAGCGTCTCGTAGTTAATGTCCGCCAATCGCTTCAATTGATGCGCTATCTCCTGCGCATCGAGGCCGCTCAATGCGGCGCTCAGCGTCGTGCCTTGTGGTTCGTGGTGCATTTTTGTGTTGTGCAGCGTCGGCAGTGAGCCGCCCGCCTGTATGGTCGTATAGGAGCGCGGCGCATTCTTGACTGTAAATGCAGATTGAAGCGGAAATTAGCAAGAGCAGCAAATCCTGACGAACTCGAGTACTCACCTTCGTAGATGACCTGATCTCGTCGTAATCGCTTGACTGGCAGCTCGCCGTTGATTAGCTTGGTGCCGCCGCTGGAGCCGGCCGAGTGTATATTGGTCGTGCACACAAACTTGACGGGCTCTACTGGCGGCTCGGGATGGTCCTGTTCCTCTTCCACATAGGTCGAGTTGTCCACCACAATGGTGCGATAGCCGCCGCCACTTGTGTTTACGGCCGTTGTGCCACCCACATTGGGGCCATCGATGCCGCCGGTTGCCTCGTGCATGTTCTCATCGGTAAGATCCTCCTGATCCACATGCTCCTCGACCATCTCGTCCTCGTCCTCGTCATTGATGGCCTCTTCGACAGCCGCTTGCAGATCCTTTTGGAACGATGCGGATGTGCGCTGACCCAATTCCTCCATGTCGTCCTCCTGATCATCCTTTTCCGATTTCAAGTTCATTAGCGTCTCCCCGGAGCCCGGCACCTTGCCAAACAAATTGAGTGCTCGCGTCTCCAGTGACGACATGGATATGTCCTTCTCGCTGGACATCAGGCTGCGTCTGTACTTGCAGCGCGTCGTGTTCTTCCAGTCGTTTAGGCGCTGCAACAAATGTGCGCGTCATTTGCCGCCAATAATCGCATAACCTCCCTCCCCGCCACACACCCTTCATCGTGCACACACAGAGACCCACAGGGCTGTTGTGTGAATGCTGGAAAAACTCACCTTGCGCCATTCCTCCGCTGTTAGCGTGGGTCCGGAGCCGCATTTGTTGAGCCTGTCGGATAACTCTTTCCATTTTCTGGTCAAATAATTTAGATCATAATCGCGCGGCACGCGTCCACTGGCAAAAATTGGGTCGCTCTCCATGAGCTCGATGTACATTTGGTACTGCTCCGAAGATGTGCGCTTTTTGCGTCGGTCCATTTTTGGCAACTAGCGATTGCACAAATTGTCAATAAAAATTGTTTTACCCACCGAAAAGTGCACTGCAAATACGAAATATTAAAATCGACGCCACCAAATGCAAACAATTTTAACGCGCTATGTATTTTTTAGTACATTTTCGCAAGCGGTGGACAGGCTGCCTTTTGCAGACTATCGATAACCGTTGCTGTATAAGTCGCGCAATGTTGCTCTTGCGGTGCGCTTACGTTGAGCACAATACGCTGGTCACCATTAATAAAAACATATTGCTTATGAGTATATGCCTGCAGCGCTAATTGCTAGTTATGCAAAATCAATTGAATACCATAAATATGTGTATCTTCATTTATAAATGAATCATAATTTCGTTCACTTATGCAAAATATATGAAAATTGTATTATGTTACTCTTTTTTGTGCTGAAGCTGCGGCATTTATCGATAGTCGACAATGCTGCCCAGCCGCTTGCCAGTGCTACCCATAATCATACGAAATCATTATTAAGTGAATACAGCAAATTATTTTCTGACAACTTCAATAGTAAAAAAATTAATAGAATTGTAAAATATAAACATTCTGCAAGCGGCATATCGCAGCCCATAAAACTGGCCATCAACTACGCTACTGCAGCACATCGACAATACCCGATTTGATATAATAAAAACCATGCAAAAAAAGACGCATGTTCAGTCTTTGGTAAGTCAACTGCGAACAAAACCAGATGATAACTAAACGAGAGAGCGTGTGAGTGAGACGGGGCGACGCGAGTAGAGACACCAAAACCCGAAGCGAGTCGCGAATCTGAGGCCTCAGTCCATTTCCAGTTCCAGGAGAACTCGCATATATAATTAATAAACAAGCACCAAATTGTCACACGCAAGAATGGCCGATTCGCTGCTGATGGAGGAGGCGCATCCCTATATAGAGGATGTCGCCGCCTCTGTTATTGTTGAACCAGTCGAAGGTGGCGGCGCCGTTGCTGCCGGCACACTGCCAGCTGCTGCCATACAGTTTGCAGATCTCACAGAGAGCGGCAGTGAGAGCGGCGAGGACGAGGTCAGCATCGACCAGCAGCAGCAGCAACGACAGCAGGAGAATGGTTCTCCAGTTACCGGACACAACACGCCCGCTGCACGCTCCTCGCCGCCACCGAATTGTGCCATTTGTCTGTCCCGCTGCAGGCGTAAATGCTTCACCGACTCGTGCATGCATCAGTTCTGCTTCAAGTGTCTGTGCGAGTGGAGCAAGGTTCGTAAGAATACCGACAGCTTCACATGCATCTAGCATAGTTAATCAATCCTCGTTCTGCAGATTAAGCCGGAATGTCCGCTGTGCAAGCAGCCCTTCAAAACCATCATACACAATGTGCGCACCCTGGACGACTACGATCGGTATCCGGTGCAGTCCAGCACGCCGGAGCACTCGGCGCTCAGCTTTCATATTGTCAACATACGTCGTCAACGCTACTTGCCCCAGCATCAGGGCGTCATGACCAACGACATCGATGCAGCTGCCACCGACGAGTCGCAGGATGGCTTGGCGCAGCCTTCGCGCATATATGCGCCCTTCAATCGCTTCGAGCCGTATCGCATGGAGCTATTGAACTTCTATCGCCACGATCAGGATGCTGGCGGTTCCGGCTCGCTGAGCCAGCTTTGGCGTCGCTATGTCTACGACCGCAAGCTGTACGCGTTGCCGGTCAGCGATAGCCTCACCGGACATTTTCGCGAGTGGAGCGCACGCTTCTACAGGTGAGTGCGAATCTGTCTATTACCCAGAGAAGCCACTTAAATCCATGACTTGCCCATCTTTTTTGCAGAGATAATCCCGCACAAATGCATCGCCTAATGCCGTGGATCAATCGGGATATAGTGTGCCTGTTGCGGAACTCGCCGCAGAATGTGAGCGAGGTGATGCAGCTGATGCATGACATTTTGCCCATGATCAATATACCGACCCGCACATTCCGGCGACGCCTTTCACCGTTTCTGGGCGAGCGCACCAATCACTTCATACACGAGCTGTTCAACTTTGCCCGCTCGCCGTACGATATGATTGGTTATGATCGTGTCGTGCAATACTCGGCGCGTGTTGCCGAAGAGGTCGAGGTGGATCTGCTTGACTTGGTGTCCACCAACGAGGGTAGCGTGTCGGTTCCGGCGGATGCCAGCGGCAGCGGCAATGGCAGCGAGCCAAATGGCAGTGCGGCGGAGTCGGCCAGTGATTGGAGCCGCTTGCCGCGGCCATCGACTAGCGTGATTGTGACCAATCCCAGTGCAACACATTCCTTCAGCGTCACCATGGCCACCGATGGCAGCGAATTGCCGGGCATCTCCATACGCCGCACCACCACCTCAAATGTGGGCTCGCAAACGGTTGCCATCAACCTGAGCATGCGTCGCCCCGCCAACGAGGTAATCGAAATTGATGACGGCGATGCTGCTGCCAATGCCGAAGTGGCTGCCATCAACGATGGCAGCAGCCAGACCGGTCGCCGCCAAGCGGGCGCCAGTCTGCCCATAAGCGCCCACATTGAGCTCCAGAGCAGCGACTGCAGCAACAGCAGCGATGATGACGAATGTGTTTTTGTGCTGGAGCGCAAACCGCCGCATTTGCGTACACCGGAGCTGGTCAGCCTGGATTCGAATAGCGACTCTGATGTGGTCTTTGTGGATGAGCAGAAGCCCAGCACGCCGCCCAAATCGACAGCGGGTGACAGCGGAGAGCAAGCTGCCGCTGATGCTGCCGCTGTGGCTGCTGCTGTTGCCGCTGGCGGTTTATCCAGTGAGCTCTTTATGGGCCCCAGCACCAGCACAGGGGTGTGCTCCACCTCGGGCAAGCACTGGAAGACAGTGCTGGAGGAGGCGCGTCGTCAGGATCCACGCATCGGTCTGTCCAAACGCCACATGACACGCGCTCAACATCGCAGCCTGCCACCGCAGCCTGTCAGAAGCAGCAGCAGCAGCAGCAGTAGCGGCACCAACTGGACCAATAGCAGCAGCAGTAGCAGTAGCAGCAGCAGCAGCAGCAGTGATGACTCTCACGTAAAGATAACGCTCCGTAAAAGGCGCACGGTACGCAAAACCAAAGCTCGCAAGCGTGCCGCCAAACACAAGCCGACACTCAGGTTGAAGACCAAACGCCGCAAGAAGCAGGTGGTCGTAGAGCCGCAGGATTTGCGCCTGGAGAGCAGCTGCAAGAGCAGCAGCAGCAGCTGTGATGAGAGCAGTGGGAACAACAGCGAGGCTCCTGCGGGTGAGTGAGCAATCAAATATGTACATACCTTTAAGCTTAACCAAAACCACTTCTTTAGCAGGCAATATAATCAAGAAGAAACGCAACCACATTAAGATGAGCAGCAGCAGCAACAACAACAGCAGCGACGAGGACAGTACGGAAAACTTATTATTGAGCCAATTGCGTGCCACGCTCAAGGCGGAGACAAAGCCGCCCAAGCGTGAACTGAAAGCGGAGTCAGACGAGTCACAACAGCTTTCGGGGCCGCCGAAGAGCAGCGATAGAAAGCGCCGTCACAGCTACAGTCACAACAGCAACAGCAATCTGTCCAGCCGCAGCCATAGCAACAGCGTGACTAGCACCTTGGCCAGCCACGGCAACACTATGTCCAGCTGCTCAGCCCTCAGCCTAACGCTCACCAATACGGATGGCAATATGCCGCTGACACAGCCGCTCTCCGTCATGCATGATATAGCCAATTCGCTGATTGAGCTCTCCACTGTGAGTGTGGGCGGTGCTGGCAGCGGTTTATTCAATGAGCAGTCGCAGGACGTGGAGGATGCGATAAGCTACCACCTGCACAATGTGTTGCCCAGCGGCAGCGCGCACCAGACCAATGATGATGAGGATGCACAGCTGGGCATCTACTCCGATGCCAGCAATGATGACTATGTAATTGATGTGGTCAGAGATGCAAGTGGCAGCATCCAAGGCGAATCTGTCGATGCCAATGAGGACAATGTGCATGATGAGCAGGAGCAGGAGGAGGAAGAGGCAGATGAGGCAGTCGAGCACGGCGACGACGACGAGGAGGAGGACGAGAACGAAGTTGAAGACGAAGACGAGGATGAGGAGGAGGAGGAAAATGATGACAATGAAGCGACCGATGATGCCGAAGACTCACCAGCACCTGACACTGAGGCCAGCGACTCGGATCAGGATGCAATGGATGCCTACTAGGACGCCTTGCCGCTTGCTTAAGCACGAACTGTTTATTTTTTTCTTTCTTTTTTTAATAGTATTTTATTAGCTGTTTTTACTATTCGTGTCACGTCGTTTTAAACCCCATTGGCCAAATGCTCACCTCACCCCTTCCATATTGATTGGCCCCCCATAAACTTGTTGACTACTATACTATAACTACAAATTATTAAATTTAGTCTTTAATGTTAACCACTCAAATTGCTATGCTAAGCGCAACCGTCAGGTCCCATGGTCATTTGTATGGTATTTTCGGACCTGCAGTTAAGCTTCAGCTCTTAAGTTGTATATACACATATGATAGAACTCTATAATAACTAGTATACACATTGATTGTATAATATAAATTCATTTATCGAATTAAACCCCTGCTAGGCTCCCCACCTCCCCCCTCTCCTCCCACCCTAAGTAGAAACCACAACAAAAGCTGATCTGCTCGCATGCGCAATATCAACTCCAAATTGAAATTCATTTGTAAATGTTTGTACTTAGTTAAGTTATTATATAATAATCATATACATATAAATATACATATATATATATGTATATGGCTATATATGTATGTATATATATATGTATATCGTAATCGATTTAAGTCCTAGTTTATAAACTATATAACTGCATAAAAAGCCACGTTAAAGCAAACTTCATGTGTGTATATGCTAAATGCTAAAGCATATCCAAAGGTTTTATTTAATTTTTTTTGCCTAAACGTAGCTGATTAATTAAATGCAATAAATGTAAAAATATTAAGCGAGATAAAGGCTCTTTTGATCCAGCAGTCTAAATATATACATATATATATATATTCATATATATGTGCATAAAGCATGTCATTATTCTGTACCCATTTCTCAGCTATTTATTGCCAATGGATATCATGAATTTTATTTTGTGT